CAGCGTTCGCTCTTTCTCCTGCACGTCACGTACACGATGCGGTCGGGATCGTTGAGAACGCTGTCTGGAGCTCTGTTTTTTGGGAACTCGGATAGTCTGGATACGGTAGCTGGTACACGCTAGAGATTCAAGCTGGCGTTTGTTTCGTTGGGTGGGTCATCCAGAACATCCTGAGAAACCCGTGTCCTTTGGAGCGCTGTGGTGGTGTCCATATGGACATCACCGCAACATGACCTCCTCATGAGTACTGAATCTGGGCTTCATCTAAGGCCACCAGCAGCAGTGTCTTTGAGCGAGCAGACCTTCCTGAGGAAGGGTTATCTTTCCAGAAAACGTTTCCATGAGATTTATTAAGCTATTTCTGGTGTGGTACTTGAACCTTATCAGACTGATTTCTCATCATGAGGGCCATTACATTCTTCCTGAACTACAGAGATGTTATTGCTAGGTTAGACTTCAAGCATGGAAGTGCTGGAGTTGCTTCCTTGAGGAAACACGGCTGATCTTCAGCTTAAAGCTGGAAGGTCAAAAATACTAATTTTAATTGGCAGGTGCCGAGATAGCCATGGTGGTGTGTTCCACCTGCTCCAATGGCCTGCCTCCATCACTGCTCGGGGTGACATATCCTGGAGAAAGGGGCAAGAAATTGTGTGGAAAGTGTAGGAAGACGCAGAGCAGACCGTGGCAACTACCCTTTCCCTCCCCCTTCTTTCTCTTTCAGTTTCCTTTTCTTTCTTTTTCCCTTTCCCTTTCCCTAGCACTGCAGCAAATGATTGTCCCGAGGATGGCAGTGCCGAGGTGGGGCCAGGAGCTCTGAAAATTAAGCAGACCAAGTAGCCAGAGACCGGCTAAGTGGAGGGAGAGGGGGAAAGCTCCCTTAGCATAGCAGCTACTGGAACTCAGGGCGTGAAATGGCTGCTCCCCAGACTGGTTTGCATGACTGGTTTCCCTGACATTAACTTCTAAGCCCTTTGCCTAATTTGCTGACCCATATATGGTTTTACATCTTTATATATAGCAAATGCATAACAAGTTTTTATAATGGCTCTGTGAATGACACGCTGCTGCCTTGCAACTCAGTAGCTGTCCCCGTGGTTATATAGATGTGTCTGATTATAGATCAGCCTTTAAAAAGTAATAAAACGAAGTGGCATTTTATGTAACTCAATGGGTTACAGCAGGAAGCTGTTCACAGCAGAGGATTAAAATAAAATTGTTCTTGATATTTAAAAAGTGATGAAACGAGGAGAAAAATAAATCCGCCCCCAAACACTGCAAATCACTCCGTTCAAGTTTGGCATCTGCCAAGATCCTACTTGGGAAAAAAAAAAAAACTGGGCTCCTTCCCTCAAAAAGTCCTCCCACACCGTTCAAGGCACAGAGCTCGAGGGTCGTGCTCGCTGGCACACCCAGCATCCTCATTAATAAATGCCACTTATGACATGGCATTGGTTTTGATTGCTTTCTAAAGACATTACTGCTAAATCTTCATATTCTCTGCGTTTTCTGTGATGGCTTAAATACAGGGGAGCAGACCTGACACGTTTCAGCAGGCTTCTGTGTTCTTTAAAGGTAAACTTTGAAAGGCAGGCCAGTGGTGTGTCACATGTAGTGTTCATGTACCAGTGTGATCAATCGAGTGACTATGTTCTGCTGGAGAGAAACATATGAATAGAAATAACTCTCGAGTTTTAGATTATTCATTTGGATTACTTCTAAAAGATCATCCCAGCCTGTTGTCTGTTGCCTTGATTTTTCTTTCGTTTCTGTGACATGACTGCTACCACAAATAAATGGACTTCTGCGACTTTCAGAGCATTCACTGGATGTGACACTGAGTAGATCACAAAAGGGAAAAGCATATTCTGCAAAATGCGTCCCTCTGACGAGATGGAGGTAGTCTTGCACATTTATTTCCAACATTTTGGTGAGGCATGTACTTTTCTTGCATACTTAATAAACACAAGATTATTTTCCAGAATTCCACTGAGTAATATTTGTCATTAAATGCTAAAAAAGAAAAAAAAAATAAAAAATCAACCATTCACTATGAAAAGACTTTAATTATTTGGAACACTAACATCAGGAATGTTTACTTGAAAATGTTTCTTTCCACTTTAGTCTGTCTTCAAACCTGTTACACTATATTCCACTGACTAGTATTACAAATTACACTGACATGTTTCCCCAAACTTGTAAAAGATAGAACTACAGTAAATTGTTTCACAAAGTGTTTGGAAAAAAAAACCCCAGATATAAGAAATTACTCTTTTCCTCTTCTTTCTATGATGAAGTAGAAGCTTAGTTTTAAAGTAACAAGAACAGTCATTATAGAGCTAAATATGTTTGACATATTTAACCTCACAAATAAATAAATATATACAAGGGAGGTTACAGCATGTCAACTACAAAGTAGAAGCTTTACATTGTAGAACTGAGAGCATTCGAGAGCATCTAACTGACACAGACAGTTTAAGATTACTACATGGTAGTAAAAAAACGAGGAAAAAAAATCGTAAATCAGCAAAAATGTAGGTAGCTGTACATGAAACTGATGGTTAGGTTACAGCTCAGCTTCAGTCAGGATACTGTGTTTTCTTTTTGTTTATATTTTACTCATCTATTACGTTTTATTGCTTCCTCATTTTTTCAGGAATGTTTGGTTTTCCTTCTCTTCACTTCCCAACACCTCAATCAGGCAGAAATCTCACAGCAAGCTGCTATGTGAACACTATTCTCTACAGTAGTTAAGCAAGTGGGATGATAAAATATAAGTTCAGTAAATACTTGTACATAATCTCTTCCTAAATTATTTCCCTTGTTCAAGATGTCTGACAACACTCATCCCTGTTAATAGTTCCATTTTAAGTGAGTCGGGCTTTCATCCATACCACCATGGAAGTCCTTCCAGGTAGGAGACTGAGGTCTCATTCAGGTCCATGCAGCGACAGCAGTGTTTCTGGACGGAATACCACCAGGACATCCTCCTCATCCTCCTCCCCCCAGGTGTTTGCAGCCAGGGAAAACACGCCGTTTGTGCGGTCACAGCATTAATTGATGTCAGCATGCAAGAGCGCGTGCAAAGAGCAGAGAGTAAGGCACAAATCCACATCCCTCATCACTGAACATCCACCTGCTTGGCAATTGTGAACCATCTCACAGCACAACTTTCCGGTCACCTTTCTGAATATAATTAATTAAATATTTGGTTAAAAATATTTTGTTAAAAAAAAAAAAACAACAAAAAAAACAAAAAATCTTTTTCAAAAAAGAAAATTTCCATCAGGAGCCACTCTCCCCTGAAAACATTATTTGAAAATACCTTTGATATTTTTGGCTCATGCTTTCAGAGGCACGTGCAGCTACAGTTTTTACAAAACCTCTCACGGGGCGAGACGTGCTCCAGGAGGAGAGCTGCATTTTTGGCCGCACGCTCATAGGTCACACCTTGGCAGGGCTTAAAACAAGTCAGCATTTTACACTCGTGGCTCTGCTCTGCGCCCGCACGCACGACTCGGTGTCCTGATGCGCACGGAACAGCGATGTGAAATTCCCTAATGTTGCCTGAACACTGCTTAAATTTAAACTCTGTGCCTCCAACAACCTCGATCAAGTCAACCAAGCGGGGGGGAAGGAGGGGGATGCTCATACTGATAACATTATGTGCCCGGAAAGATGTTATTTATTTATCACTGGTGAAAGTATTCCAGGTTATTCTAATGTTGCAATGCCATCTGATGGAGGTGTCTGTACATACAGTGTATCTAGAATCATAGAATTCTATCATAGAATGGCTAGATGACCTTTGAAGGTCCCTTCCAGCCCTAACCATTCTATGATTCTATGATTCTATGATTCTATCTGCAGTACAGAGACTGACAAACGAACCCATGGGCTTACAAAGGATTCATCTTGTATTTAAATACTTAAACTCAAGTTTTAGCACCGTTCCTTGCTCCTAGATTGTCTGTGGTACACATTGTGGTTTCCTCTGTCATATTTACTGTGTGTATTATTGTAAAACTATGTGTGGAGAGAGATCTAGGTACATATTTATATATCTATATATAGTCAAATGCCTTCTATTTCGTTCAGTGAAAAAGAACATTAAACATAGAACTGCCATGGGAGATGCCCCATTTCATGCATACCAATCAACAAACGTTGAACCATGGCTTTGTGTAAACTTTGGATTTACCTTTGCACTTGTTCTGCACAGATGCAAATGATACATACGACTGCCTGTTTCCATCTATATCAATGGGCTTAAAATTTGCAAGGGTTACTGGCAACCTGCATGTCCTTCTCAGCCAGGACATCTATGTAATAAGCGTGTTTCTATGTGCATGGATAAAAAAACCAGCCTGAATTTACAGCACATACTGTTATGGTAAGCAAGATTTGCATGGTTAGGTCTCATTAGTCAAAAAATGGTTCAAAATCATAGAATCATAGAATCATAGAATGGTTAGGGTTGGAAGGGACCTCAAAGATCATCCAGTTCCAACCCCCCTGCCATGGGCAGGGACACCCTCCACTACACCAGGTTGCCCAAAGCCCCATCCAACCTGGCCTTGAACACTTCCAGGGATGCGGCAGCCACAACTTCTCTGGGCAACCTGAGAATAAAATAAACCCTTTAAGACTGGTGTTAGGGTTTTATTCACTTACAAGTAAAGAACAGACAGCACTAGACAGTAGGGGAAAACCATATTCTTCAAAAGAACAAGACCATGAGTAAACTGTTCAATAAGAGCTCGCCTGTACTGCGTGACATGGCTGCTATTTTCTCCAGGAGTCAAGACTTGCTTCTGTTTAGACTATATAATTTAGAGTTAGGCTTGTGGCTCTTCAGTCTTGGAAAAATATGTACACAGGATTAGAATTAGCTGTCCAGGCATCATGTTGGCTGGCACACATTTAAAAAAACAGCTCAATACCATGGTGGAAAACTGTCTTTTTTCCACAACAGTAAAAAGGTAGAGAAACTGGTCCTTGGGTGGAAGCTGTTAACAGGAGAACATTATAAACTGGGAAAAAAATAACTAAACAGGTGGTATTCTCAATTCCAGGCAGACTTTTATCTTCCTTTGATAGAAAAAAAAATCAGAAGCCCAGTTAGAACTTTGTGCTGTGACTAAACGTGTCAGACATGATGATATTTTTATAGAAGTTGTCGGAGTGAGGATTGCAGTATCCCTTGACCTTGTCAATAACCTGGTGGACAGGGATGATTGATGTCTGTTCTCCATCCTCTTGGGCAAATTTTGAAGATGGCTTGTCAAGAAAAACGTTCTCTAGGAAGAGGAAAAACAACAAGAAGTTAGGGCTTCTTAATCAAACTCATCGTTTAAGAGGTGTGTCACTCCCACATAGATATGCCTTCAGTTGCCACTACTGCTGAATGAAATTACCACCCTAAAAGCCAGCAAACAACTTTTTGGCTTGGCATTGCTTCTTCTAAATTCTTTTGAGATGCCTGGTTTTGTGGGTGGACTGCTCAGGTCTCTCTTGAAATTATAGAATCATGGAATGGTTTGGGTTGGAAGGGACCTCAAAGATCATCTAGTTCCCACTCCCCTGCCATGGGCAGGGACACCCTCCACTACACCAGGTTGCCCAAAGCCTCATCCAACCTGGCCTTGAACACTTCCAGGGATGGGGCATCTACGACTTCTCTGGGCAACCTGTGCCACTGCCTCACCACCCTCACAGTGAAAAATTTCTTCCTTAGATCCAATCTAAATCTCCCCTCTTTCAGTTTCAAGCCATTGCCCCTTGTCCTGTCACTACATGCCCTTGGAAAAAGTCCCTCTCCAGCTTTCCCCCTATTCTTCTGCCTAAAGTGTAACTGACTCCTATGACCTTTTAATATATTAATTTACTGTTGATGCTTTGAATCTTATGAACTAAAAACATTTCCATAGCCCATAACATATATTAATTTACTGTTGATGCTTTGAATCTCACGAACTAAAAACATTTCCATAGCCCATAATACCTGGTAAACAACATCTCCACATAACAAAGTAGTGGAAAATGACAGTAAACGGATTGAATTATTTCAACAGTGGAGGTTTTAAGCTATGCACAGAAATAAAGTACTCTGTGCAGAGTATTGCAGAAGATCACTTGCATCTTAAAGCAGATATAACCAGAGCTGGAACTGGCTTCAACTTTGTTCTTTCCATAATGTAGAGGTTATGGACTGAGCACCTGCGGGGAGGAAAAGATGCACAAAACTGGCATCCCTTCAGAGCTCATGTGCTACAAGTCCAGGGTGGAGCTGAAGAGAAAAAGAAGTAAGGCAATTCCCATCTGGGCTGGGAAAGCCTGCTGCAGCCGCGAACAGCGTTGCTGTTCGGAGAACGGTCAGTAGGTAGAGCTCATGTAGTGAGCAATGAGAAGGAGAGAGCCTGTATCTCGTTTTTTCAAGTACGTTGTCCTAATGAGCTTTCATATCTCTTCCACTGTAGTGAATAAAGCTGGAATTAATTCTCCTAACCCAGGCAAGGCTTGAATCATCGCAAGCTGACGGTAAGATGGAGTATCCTGTGAAGCAATGTTTTCTACGAGTGACATTTTTGATGGCTGTTTACAAGACCTTGGTGAAATCACCTTCAAAAATCCCTCGGTAAATGATCATTTAACAATTTAGCATATTATTTAAACTATGATTTCATATAAAACTTGTTTCTTATAGAAATAAATCGGTAACTAAAAATAAACAGAAAAGTAACCCGCCCCTGCCGAAGTCATGACATCAAGCTGTACAAAAGTATAAAGTGTTGCATGAAGGAGAAATGGATTGCAGAGTGAGAAATCAAGTTGTATTTGTGAAAAAAAGAAATAGGCATGTTCAGGCATATCAGAATGATTTTTTCAAAGCATGCAAGGATGTCCATGAATCACAGTGATAACTCCATGTCCAGTAGCAAACTGCTGGGTACCGTGTGCCTTTCGAACATGTGCATTCACTAGCCAATGGCACTATGTTTTGAAGTTTTTCTACATATTGAATTTCTTATTACAAAGATGAATGCTTAATTCTTAGTCGTTAGGGAAAGGTTTTGAAATTCCTTGCAAATATGGACACTTTTTTTTCACAAGGCATCATTACATTGTTAAATACCAGCTGTTTCCTCATGAAACTCGCATGCACAGGCATTAGGTAAGTCCTCTGAAACCAGTGGGGTCCTCTGTTTTTTTTGGCTCAATGGGCTTCACACCCAAGTACGGGGTTAAAGTCTTGTATCACTGAAGTAAATGGGAGCTGTACCACAAAATTCTGTGCAGAAATATTCTTAACTTCTAATTCATGTAAGTGTTATATATGGTGTTTATCTACAACAAGTCTATCTGTGGTACTATCTACAACAAGTTTGTGTCAGTCTCATATACAGCAGTGCCACAAGATGCTGAAGTGATTTCTTTCGTCCATCCAGTAGTGTCCACCCAATATTCGAGTCCCAATTGATGCCTTCTGCATTCAACGACAGCACAGCTTTCAGGCATGTATAGTTTGTCATTCAAGCATTTTGAGTGTGACTAGATATGAAAAAGAAATGGCTAGAAGACTAATTCTGTAATGGCCACTGACAAAATAGAAATACAGTGTCTTAAAATGCCTGTAATAAGTTTTTAAAGCATTCAAAAATTTTCTAGGACTCAATCAGATTTTTTTTGCTTTTTAATGTATGTTTTGTGTATGGATGTTTCAACTTAATCTCCTTTCCCCAGGCTACTGTACGCAGGGATGAATGTCAAGACATGGTCTGTTTTCTAAAGCGGTGTCTTCGGAATGCTTCATGCCCCATGCAGAGTGCAGGCACCCAGAGCGTGAAGCACATTTATCCCATGAATCAGCATCAATGGCGCAAGATGCAACAGTGAGGAACAAGCAGCGTTTCCGACCAGCAAAGTCCTTTGTGTCAATGAGGTCATCATGCAAGTGGCATCCCTCCACCCTGTTCAAACCATGCATTCAACAAAAGCAATTCTCACTTTACCTGTAATGCTCCACCACTGATGAGGAAAGGGCCTTAGAAGACATTATCTATACCACAAACACACGGATGCTTGTGTCAATCCAGGGAGCACATTATAACCATATTAACAAGAGTTGCCAAGACATGTAGCTGTTACATTACTTGCCTGCAATTTAGCTTAGACATCAAACTGAGAAGTTTAGTTGCATTAAAAATCAGAATCTTAATGTTATTTTCTATTATTTTACCGCGTGAGAAGATACGTCAGCACTTAAAAACCCGACGTTAGCAAAAATTCCTTTGGAGTATCACAATAAAATGTGTATTTTCAGAGGATGTATTTCAGAGATTTTCAGAGCAAAATGTATTAAAATTTTAAAACTATAGAGAAAACTGTGGCATTCCCAATGTCCAATAAAAAAATCGCACTACAACCATGGCTACTCTGCCAACTGCAGTACCTTTTAGGAAATAAGTCATGCATGGGATTAACCTCACCACTTTTGAGAAACGTACGTAAGCATGTTCCGAACTTTTTATTTTAAATTTCTTTTAACTTACTTCTTCTTATCTGGAACTGTTTTATTGTTTTGCTTCAAGATCGCATTGGAAAAACTCCAGCACTAAGTCTCTTTAATTATCAGACTGATAAAAAGCCCTGAGTCCAACAAAACATTTACGCATACTTTTATCATCAAACCACAAGCACAAATAGGAATTCTCTGCCTGCAGAATGGAGAATGCTCTGCAGTGGAAAGGGCACAATGCTCAGGTACACCATGGAATTCCTAAGACACCGCTCATTTTTATTGTATTCAAAGCAAATGTACTTCAGGTACCTTCTCGATAACCAAAAAAAGATTTACACTCTTAAAATAACTGCTGCACAACCCCTCATGCTAATGGATGCACTAAATACTTGTTAGTGAGAAAACATCAATGTAATTCTTAAAAAGAGAGATTTCTAAAAAAACAGTTGTGTGCCTAACTGAACCAGGTAATGACCATCAATAAAAAAAAAAGTATTTCCTGGAAACTATGCCATATATCAAGAAAGGAGACTGGACCATCATAGATGAGACATTGAGGACTTCTGAAAATAATTTATACTTAAGAAACATTGTAACTTTCCTTCCAGTATAACAATATATTTTGTATCTAAACATTGCTTCTAACAAATATTTTAAAGAAAGTAAGCACATCTTTGGGTTAAATATGTGCATGAATTTTATTCCCACTATGTTTTAGAAAAGGATTCTGTGATAATGTTATATGACTTTACGCAGGACAAAAACATGAGTTCACAAAAACCCAGTAATGAAAAAATCTGAACTGTTTAAGTGATTTTGTGAAGTATTATCTCAGACACAGCAAACTGACTTGCAAATCATTCCAGCTCCTCTCTTTCTTCACTTCTTTGAAGAGTTCTTAAAATGAACACATTTTTATGGCATGAGTGGAACACAGATGATGCCTTTTATTACATACACCACTGACATCTAAATAAATTAGCAGTAGATATGGCATGCTATTTAGAATCATAGAATCACAGAATGGTTTGGGTTGGAAGGGACCTCAAAGATCATCCAGTTCCAACCCCCCTGCCATGGGCAGGGACACCCTCCACTACACCACGTTGCCCAAAGCCTCATCCAACCTGGCCTTGAACACTTCCAGGGAGGGGGCAGCCACCACTTTTCTGGGCAACCTGTGCCAGTGCCTCACCACCCTCACAGAGAAAAATTTCTTCCTTATATCTAATCTAAATCTGCCCTCTTTCAGTTTAAATCCATTGTCCCTTGTCCTGTCACTACATGTCCTTGTAAAAAGTCCCTCTCTCCTATTTCTAGTTCCATTTGTAGAAGGGAAAGACAATGCATGCTCTGGGAACACAGTAACCACTTCCAAGCAGCCTCCGCTTGTCCCTTTACCCATAAATATGTTAGAATTAAATGGAAGGAGTTTGACCAAGCGAATCAGCTGTGGACTTGGACTCAGAAGACTTGATTCCTATTTCCAACTGTGCTGCCAGCTTTCATGTTACCTTGGGTGATGAACGTCCCGTCTCTGTGCTGTGGCTACCCTGTGTTTACAGTGGGATAAGAAGACTTACCTTCTTTCATTCAAAATGTGAAAGTGCTACAGAAAAAGCAAGATTTGCTTTCATCAAGCCTACTTTTTTTAGTATGGGAAGAAACCAAGATGAGAACTACATAACTGGCTGTATTGGATATTAGGTTAAGACTCTTATTAAACAGTAACATATATTTTAAAAATACTGAAACTATACGAATTGGTGAATTTTTCTCACATTAACTGTTGACTAGAAGTCCCTACTGCACATTTAACACGAAACCACATATTCCTTCATGCACTGTGTTTCAGGGCAAGAACTCACCTGTATGGCTGTTTCGTTTGCAATATGTATTCGTTGTAGATTTTGATTTGGATGTTAAGTAGGTTGAATTTGAGCCGATAGAACTAGAGGATAAGGATTTCCCGAGATTATCAGAACTCTTCTTTATAATATTGGTTGCTGTTTTGCTCCAATCTAAAAATGACAGAAAAGTTTTACAGAAATAATTACCATAGGTACTGAATGCCTATTTTAGTAAATTACAAACATTTCAAGTATCAGTTGCATTTCTCAATGCTACTTGTAACAGCCTGTCCTTTTCGTGTGAGGTAGCCTCTTTGGATGTGAAGAAATACAACAACTATTTCAACTTGATTTACCTTGCTGTTTACCACAGTAGTTAAAATTGGTGGCTCTAACACTCTAACAATCATTTGGCTGGATGGCTGAACTTTAAGTAAGACCCAGTTTTCCAGGACACAGGAGAGCAGTGAAGCTCTGTAGCAGGATAAGGACACCAAAGTCTCACGACCTGAAGAGAGAAATCCAGCAGGATGGCTAGGGAAGAGGTAGGTAGGAGCATTTACAGTGGTCTTATCATTTGAGGGCTTGATCTCTTGAGGTAGATACTACACACTAGCAGATTTGCACTTGTTGTAGGGTTTAGCATATTGGTACACTATTAATAACAATGAATAACAATGGGTTTTCCATAGTTCATGTTTGAGGAGTTTTAAATCAAGAGAAATATTTTAGCTTAAATCATTGCTACAGGGTATAGGTTACTATTTCTCTGATCTAGCTATAGCAGTATTGCAAGGCTTTGGCTTATCATAGAATGGTTTGGGTTGGAAGGGACCTCAAAGATCATCTAGTTCCAACCCCTTTGCCATGGGCAGGGAAATCCTCCACTACACCAGGTTGCCCAAAGCCTCATCCAACCTGGCCTTGAACACTTCCAGGGATGGGGCAGCCACAACTTCTCTGGGCAGCCCATTCCAGTGCCTCGCCACCCTCAGAGCAAAAAATTTCTTCCTTACATCCAATCTAAATCTCCCCTCTTTCAGTTTAAAGCCATTGCCCCTTGTCCTGTCACTACACGTCCTTGTAAAAAGCCCCTCTCCAGCTTTCCTGTGGCCCCTTTAAGTACTGGAAGGCTGCAATAAGATCACCCCGGAGCCTTCTCTTCTCCAGGCTGAACAGCCCCAACTCTCTCAGCCTGTCTCCAGAGCAGAGGTGCTCCAGCCCTCAGATCATCTTCGTGGCCTCCTCTGGCCCCGCTCCAGCAGCTCCATGTCCTTCTTGTGCTGGGGACTCCAGAGCTGAACACAGTATTCCAGGTGGGGTCTCAGGAGAGCAGAGTAGAGGGGCAGAATCCCCTCCCTTGACCTGCTGCCCACGTTTCTTTGGATACAGCCCAAGACACAGTTGGCTTTCTGGGCTGCCAGTGCACATTGCTGGCTCATGTTGAGCTTCGCATCCACCAGCACTCCCAAGTCCTTTTCCTCATGCTTGTTTGTTTCTTTGCTTTACCATAACATGCCCTAAGGTACACTTCAATTAGACAGGTATGCAAGTTCACGTTTGGCTTATATTTCACTCTTCTGCCTGAAGGTTCATGAAGAATAAAACCAGCTGGTGGGGATGGACTGGTTATTGCTAGGTGTAATGACAGCACATTAACTACACCACTGAAGTACTCAAATCCTTCAGGTTTTTATTTGTGTCATACTCACAAGCTGCCCAACAGCAGCATACAAATCTGGAAATAATTTGATCCATCTGTGTTTTTCAGTTCAGGAGTTACAGCATGAACCACATGGAAACTGAACATATGAAAAGATCTGGATGCTTGATCAGAATGAATATACTTTTCCTAATTTGTATTAGGTCTTTGAAACCACTAATCAGGTTTTCTTCCTACCAAGTGAAAGCATAAATGTTTTACAGTGGACAATGAGAATGCATTCCCTGAACAAAACATAGCAAGACCAAGCAAAAGTCTCGATGGCAAAGCAGTTACTTCAAACTTTGAAACAAACCTTGGATGCCAAGAGAGAGAGGACACAAGGGTATCTGGAGCACTGTCATTATCCAGGATAGACTGGCTTACCTTACTAGGCAATGAGCTTATGCCACCTTACATCAACTGTAGATTTCAGCCCTGGTCATTGAGTAAGAACCATATGAGCAAGAATTACATGGTCCAAAACCATTACATCAGACAGCAAAGCAAGATCCACTTCCCTAAACACAGGAGTCTAACGCTATCCGAGATGGCCGAAGGTGCAGGAGAGTATAAATGCAGTGTCCTGGGTGTTGCACTTTAAAGTGCTCAAACCAACTGCTCTCCTTTCTCTCTGACAAGATGAACTTCAATTCTAGAACCTAAGCAGGCTTCTGCTGAAGGAATTTTGTATGTTGTGGAGTCTCTAATGGTGTCTCGGAATTATATGGTGAAGGACAGAACAGTTTGAAAAGGCAAAGACAGAAGCAAAAGAAGTCAATCTGCCTTTTAAGAACTGCTCCTACATCAACCTAACAGTCCACACAATTCAGTCAACGTACTGTAATGGAAGTGAAAAGAAATAAGATTGGCTTTTGAATGATAGTGTTTGAATCTCTGGATCTTTATTCTTTTTTTTTGTTTTCAGGGTCCAAAGGGCCTTCCAAAACCATGCTTATAGCACTACAAAAATTACCAGCTTCCTTCAATGGAAAACCAAAAGAAAAGACTTGAGAATTTTTATGAAGTGATATCTGAAAAGTCCCTTGGCAATTGTTAGCACTGAAGTGACAGCGTATGGTTAATCTATTTTTCCACATCTCTGGCTTACATTGGATTATATCAAAAATAACCCAGCGAGTTCTTCACCTGGACTTTCATGGACTACTGCAGCACCTAAGGAGGGGAGCTGTGAATTGCTTTTACCTGAATTGTCTGCCAGTCGGAACCTGCCACAACAGAGATGTCTCCTCCATTGTTTCTGCACGTTTTCTTTCATTGCACAATGGAACACAAATATAAACAAACCTGTGACAAAAGCAAATAAACAGCAGATGAAGCATGTATTTATAAATAGATAAACAGATCAACTAAAGTCTGCTACCAAAAGACTATGAAGTACAAGCAAAGGAAAATCATAGAATCATAGAATGGTTAGGGCTGGAAGGGACCTTCAAAGGTCATCTAGTCCAACCCCCCTGCAAGGAACAGGGATATCTCCAACTAGATCAGGTTGCTCAGGGCCTCGTCCAACCTGGCCTTGAACGTCTCCAGGGATGGAGCATCCACCACCTGTCTGGGCAACCTGTGCCAGTGTTCTACAACTCTCATGGTAAAAAATTTTTTCCTAATATCCAACCTGAATCTACCTCCCTCTATTTTAAAACCATTACCCCTTGTCCTATCACAACAGGCCCTCCTGAACAGCCTCTCCCCATCTTTCTTGTAGGCCCCCTTGAGGTACTGGAAGACCGCTATAAGGTCCCCCCGGAGCCTCCTCTTCTCCAGGCTGAACAGCCATTAATAATCTTAAAGTTTTGTTATTTCCATCTATGCCTCATTTAAGAGGTGTGGAAATTCATTAAAGCTTTTCCATCCTCTAGCTGCTATGTAAGTGTCTGGAATATCAGAAGAGGGAGAATAGGACCCCTTTTATTGACACTGTCAATTTAGATCCAGCTCAGTGTGGATCTTTTAATTATTTTCTTTTGGCTTAGAGGGAAATAATTAAAAGGTTTTGTCTTCGAACCAAATGAATACTTTGCACCCAATAGGTGCAAAGGACTGCAAGAGCCAGATTGCAAAGTAAATACAGACATTATTATATTAGCAAGGAGATATTTTATCTCCTCCTGTTCCATACTGTGGGCTGTATTCTTTTAAACCCAGAAGTCTTGTAATTGGCACTAAAGAATGCCCCGAAAAAGCACACTTGGATTTATGTGCATCACATGTATGTACTTGAAATGCTTATGAAAATGGTAAGAATATGTTCACAAGTACTAATTAGGTGTCCAGCTACTTCTGAAGAAAATCACCTGGCTTGTGCACACAATTGCAATGAATGTATTTAAGAATGTTTTTGTAGAGTTCGTTTTTCTAATGCAATTGTAGGATCTTTATTTTCAAGACAGAAGATAAGCATCTACCATGTGGTAATGAAGGTCTTAACTGGGCATATGGTACGATTTCGTCATTCTACAGACATACTTTGGAGCTAAATATAGAAGTTGGAAATCTCATATGCTCCTGGCTCTTCCCAGGCAGGCACTGGCTGTGGAATCTTCCGTCGTCCTCCGGCTTGGCCTGTTCTTGTTTTACTCTTATTGTCTGGGAGAGAGCCAACCTGAGGCCGAACACCTGATGGCAAAATGTTACCGCCAAATCCCTCATGATTATATCTTAAACATGAATAATTGCTACATAATGTGGGTAAACGTGGTTAAGTGCCATCCTCTAAAACCGTTCCTTTATGATCAGCATGAATAGTTGCGTATACTGATGCCTACTATGTTTCAGCTGGTAGAAAACAATGCCAGGGTATAGCTTGGAAAAAAATGCTCTAGAGCATGAAATGATCCTCTCTTCTCCAAAAGTGCTGAGGCCCAATTTGGCATGAATGCATGTCATTGAACTGGGCTTGTTTTTGCTCTAAGCCATCAGGTCAGGCTGAGACCACTGAGATCAGCTAACTTTCGGGAAGGGCTGTGTCACAAAACACATTTTTTGCAAAATTTTTCAAGAGCTGATGGGGAAAAAAAAGGAAAAGAAAGGCAAACATAACTTAATGCATCCCATAGGCAAGCTCTGTTGCATTATGGTTACTGTGTTTGTGTTTAGCAAAATGTTTCTGTGCGTGATTTGTCTTAAGCACAGAGTAACTCCAACGCAATCGCTAGCATCTCTTAAGGCTTAGAGACAGGCAGCTGTTTGTGGCCCAAAGTACCTCTTAGGACTTCTGCACAGCTACAAACTTACTCAAATGATGCTTATTTAAATTGTGGTGAATGTTTGGAACGTTCTGAATGGTTAAAAAAGAAAATGCGTACGTCTATAGCAATACAAAACGAATGTACTGCATTAAGTGCCTTGCCTTTGCCCTGTCTGGGCTTGGTCTCCGAAATTTTTTTCTCTGTATTTCATTATTCATTAAGTTTACAATGTGCTTTAGTAATACAGCTTCGGTTTTGTTTCCCAGAGCCAAATCAGACCCTAGGCTTGGCTCTGGCGTGGCCCTAACTTGAAAGTATTTGGCTTGCCCAGGCATATACATAAAATGAGCAGCCAAAAAAGAGATGTTCCCAGATTTTTTCACTCTGAACGTCAAAGAGAGAAAAATCATTTCCTATGTAGATGAAATAGAAGAGTACAGTAACACTAGCAGTTGCTGCAATTTACTTTTTCACTACCAGTGCACAGAAAACTGTTGATGGAGGCTGCTGATACAGCTGAAAATACTTGTGCAGTTTTCAAAAACTTACAGAGAGAGAATAAACATATTTACTGAGGCCTCAATAATTAAGCTTATGCTAATGCTGATGAAAGACTTGCCATACTGAACTGCTTTTTGCTTCTAGGAAATGCTTTCTGATACAAATCCAATTTTTTTTCTTCGCTCCATTCCGTCCCCTTATTGCTACATGTGCACTGCATCAGTTATATGTGATTTTAAACATCCTCTTCCTTGTTCCTTTAGCATTGCCTAGCTCTTCCTGACACAGTGATTATCATTTCCAGGTAGGATTGTTATCTTGCTGTGCTTGATATGACATGCCTGAGCATATAACGTGTCATCATTGCTACCACAATCCAAGAAAAGCTCATCACTCTTCCTCTTTTTGCATTTACTCCTATGGTTTTGCAGTTTCATCTCCTGACTTAACTGCCTTCCAGACGTTCCTTTTCCATTGAACTGTGCTATTACCCCACAGAGACTCAGGCAGTGGTGGTCAACCTTGTGTACACTCTGCTTAATTGATTGCACTGGAAATTCTGGTTACAGAGAACTTGTTCAATTTGATCCTTGGAATGCTTTCCAGAGTTTTAATCTTTTTTTCATGTTCTTCCCATACTTCTCATCTCTCTAGGCCCTTCTGAATTTCTAACACGGACACATTGCAGCAAATACTTCGTTATGCTGCTAGGGGAGTATCAGAATCTGTCCTTTGGAAAAAAAGTCTTTAGTTAGAGCACCACATCCAAACAATTTTTGCCATTTTGCCTAGCATTTTAGGTTGAAACTGAACCAAACCAAAACCCACAACATTATTCTCTTTCCACGAAAGCTCAATAAATCTTTTAGCACAGTAAATACATCTCAACTGTAACAGATAAAATCCACACAATGTAACATTAAGTACTTTTTCCATAAAGGGAAGATATTTTGCTGATCTTGGGAAAATTTATTTTTTATCTAAATATTTGTGTGGCATGACACACGCTCCTCCAATGACCTTCTTGGGTTTGGTTTTTTGTTATGTGGGGTTTTTTTTTCAGGCAAATTTATTTCGTGTATCGATATGTGTGTGGTATAACACATGTCCTTCCAATGACCTTCTTGGGTTTTTCTTTTTGCTATGTTTTCAGTTGTTCTTTATTAGTGGGTAGGGCAAATGGACATGGAGATTCTTATGTCATTTGGTGCATAGGCAGATTTCAGCTCTGAGCTGGAATTCTTTTAAATGTCAGCTATATAATTCTGTAATTTATAACCGCCTGATTACAATTTACAGCATTTTTCAGAAGGACGAACTTTGTTGGAAAAGTAAAATATTCAGAACTTCAATAAAGGAAACAAAAATAAGCTGACTATAACAGTCACTGGATTTTCCTTAAAGAATCAAAGACTTTCTGTGCTATCTCTTCACACTGAAACAGAACTGAATTTTCTTTTATGAGCTTCTCATGCCTTAATAAAATTCCCTACAGGAATAAATTAAGGAAAGAGGCTTCCTATATTTGTTATAATCAGTGAAAGGAAATGCTGAAGGTCATATAGCACCTATCTCAACAGAGATCACTGCAGACTGTTAGCTAGGAATAGCATTATTTATAATATGGTGCACTTTATGGAAAAGACCTTGAAACATTAATTAATTCAACTAAGATATTCAATCATATGTAGCTGGCATCAGTATTCCACAAAAGGGGAAAGTAATGACGGTTTAGTACCAAGGAAAAAACCTAGAGAGCTTGGAGCTGAGCTCCTTAGTCAAATCATTGGACATAGATCCCAGAACAGCAACAGCTCAAATATTATTTCTTTACAGAACACCAAGTTAGCTCACCTTGCAATGAATTGAAAATCGAGAAGAGGTACAGGAAAGCAAGACTTAAGGGACCCCAGGCAAAAAAGGCAAAGCCCCACGTCATGCCCAGGAGGAAGGTGAGGCTGACCACGCTGCGGAGGTTCCTCAGGATCTCTTCCTTCAGGCTCCGATTAGTTCTTTTCCCATTCCTCCCACAGATCTGCACCATCACCACAATAAACATGGCAACATTCATCAGAAACATGATTCCAAAGTAGCCGGCGCAAGTCACATAAAAGACAACTTCATTCTTGATCCAGCAGCTGTAAAAAAATAAGAAAATAGGATCATTTTTAGGCAATTCAAACTATACTCCAGTTATTTATGTGACTACAAGGAAAATCAGTCTATGTCTGATACCACATACTTTAAAATGAAACCATTGCCCATTTTCTCTTTATAAATAGGATGAAGCCCAGGGGCATCTGAAGTGACTTTGGCCCATAGCATTACCACGTCAGAAACCTGAGGGTTCTACCACATTTTTGGTAAAACTAATTAAAAAGGAAATCTGGCCTCAGATACAAGCTGTGGGAATTGCAGAATGGCCAGAATGCTTAGCACTATGCAATAATAAAAATACAGAACGACATTTTTATTTATTTATCATGATGAAGTTTTGGCAGGCAAGGAACAGAAAACAAGGTAACAGTCATACAAAAATTTTGGCATTTGGAGATTATCGTCTGTCTGGAAGAAGACAGAAAGCTATTGAACTACATTGACAAAAGGGTGGTTTATTTACAAAGGAGACATTTTTATACCACTTCTTTCTTTGCTCTTATCTAGAAGATATGGCTTTCATTAAAGATAAAACAAATCAGGTATTTTTATTTTATTTTCATGACAAAACTTATGAATTATTCCTTTCCCAGAGGAGTATGTGTACCTGGAATTGGTTAACAGAAATTTCCCTCCAATTTTTCTTACAGTCTTCTTCACACTTCAGATTCAAATAATCGAGTTTTGCCCACTTTGCATGTTTAAAGACCTCTGGCTTTTCTAAAGCAATCTGACTGATGCTATTTTTTTTTTTTTCAGACTGTAAATGCTAAATTGTAAGAGATTGAAAGAAATACTCACAAGTCATCTCCTCCTTGCCCGTTGGCATCTTTGCCATATAACTGTTTCCCATAAACATGACTTGCATTTGTATTAGCACTTGCTAAAACGATTGCAATCACCAGGGCTGGCAAACCTGTAACACAAGAAAACTTGCAGCTTGCTTTCAAACCTCCTAAACCTTCCAAATCACCGTGCAAAGCTGAATTATTCATGTCTCCATCCCTATCGCTTTAGTACAGAGTATCCCCAGGTAGTTCTATGTCAGAGAACTGCACAGAGAAGTCGAAGGAAACAATTTTTCAAACAGTAAAAACGTATAAAACTTCCAAAACACTTAATGGGCATTAACAAATAAACCTCATAATGTTCTGTAAGGTAGAAAATGCTATTTTAGTATGATACGGAAACTAAAGTAAAATAACCTCCTTTAATTACCCAAAGCTGGATTTGCAATTGCATGCAGGCTCTCATAATATAGTGAGAAGATGCTTAACAAACTATTAAAAAAAAAAAAAAGAGATCTGATAGAGGAATTGTATTGGGATTTTTTTAAGGGATTTTTTTTCCCAAGATGTTAATATCACTTGATTAGGCTGGAGAACTAGTGAACATAGATGTGAACTTGTAATTTCTCCACAGCTTCTCTCAACTGCAAATGTCTTCTCTTTTTCTGTAGCACTATATATCCTTTACTTAAACGCCTCCCCCTACAATGAGGGAAACTATATATTTTTTAATAATCAGGTACAGTGACTATTTTGGGAAAACAGACAACTATGCAGAAGAGAACTCTGTGCAGAGAGGTACAGCTCACACAAAAGAAACGTACATTTCCTGACATGCCTTATTTACGTGTCTTCTCCTTGCTATGACAAAACAGATTCAAAGGGGAAGAGGTTAATTTGCTTTTCCGACCACTCAGTCCTTGTCCTCTGCTGAGGATGCCAAAGAGGATGCTAGTTGCCAATGGAAAGACATCAATTATCAGCTGGACTGAGGTCAGTGCTCTAACCATGAGGTTAATGGGTTTGTATTGTGTTGTATTATTTCAAACACAATATGTGCATTCAGGCAGAAGGCACGGATTCCTGATATAGAAAAAAAATGAAGAATAAAAGTCTTGCTGCCTGAGCCTGGCAGTTATTTTTCAATATTACATTTTCCATTTCAGTCCTGCTTTGTAAGCTGCTTAGGAGAGGCAGGATCTCTCTGTGGTTTAAACACTGTGCTGAAGCTCAGGGAATTTTCGTTGCTCCTGATTCCACCACAGGCTTTGTACTTGTTGGCAAGAAACTTTAAGCTGGATTGAAAGCTTTCTGAGAGTTAATGCAAAGACCTTCATAGGCTTTGTAGTAACTGCAAGAGTTTCTGAATTCGTTGTGTGCCACAGTTCTCCACCTCTGATATGACACTAGCATCTCCCCTTTCCCATTTTGGCCTCTCTGGAAAGCAGGACCAGTTTATCTGGTCCCTCTGCTCCTCCTTGGGCTGCGAGGTGCTCTGGGTGGGGAATGCCAGTTACAGAATTGGACATGGGAACTCGGCGACAGAGAGGGCTGGCTGCAGGCTGGCACTGCCGCGGGGCGGGGGCAAGGAAACACCAGCTGATTTTGACTCTTCTCTGCGTTTGTGATGGACAGCTTTTCTGTAGCACCATTTCAAAACACGTGCTATGCAAGTACTGCATCTACTGAACTCACCCCAGCCGATGATGCAGAACTTCAGTATGTATCGCCGTATATAGGTGTTGAACACTTTCACTAGGGCAATGTACATGTGAACGGCTTCTAGTCCCATCCATGTGAAGGTGGCCAGAAGAAAAAAGTGCAGAAGTGCAGCTACGGCTGTGCAGAGGCCGTCTATGTCAAACGATGCAATCCAACCATCAAGCAAGAAGATTAAGTTCAGAAAAAGCAGGGCTGTGCTCAAATTCATCAGGATTTTGGATGGATAATCTCTTCGCAACTTCCTAACGAGAGAGATACAGGTGCACATGATTAATTGGTTTCAATCACCCAAGCTGCTTACAGCAGCTGGGTTTACCAGCTTACAAAGTAGGTAAAAGCACAGGGATCTCCTCTGAGCCATGAACTTTTGTGGCAATAAGGCATAGTAAGGTGTACTTCTGTGTGACATCACTAAAGGCTTCTGTTGTATGTTCTGTTGGATGCCCCATCCCTGGAGGTGTTCAAGGCCAGGTTGGATGAGGTTTTGG